TCTGTTTCTCTCATGCTCAAATTTTAAAGATTTTATCATTTAATTGGTTACTCATATCTTCTTTTTCTAGTGTGTTTGAGAGAAACTCCCTTTCCTCACTGAATGTTGAGGATATTATTTGTTGTCACTGTTTTGCATGCATTTGGGGAAAGGGCGGAATAATTGGCAAGTTAGTAAAACACATAATAATGCCTTCAACTCTGATTGCCTTTCATTTTAACTAACAATAGTGATTTTGCCCACTATGATGCTGCTCAGATCTGTTCTTGTACAGAAATAAATTTTAGATGATGAGAGAAAAATCACTTAATTGCTGCAGAATTAAGAAGGGCTTTCATGTTAATTCATTTTCATTAAAGTTCTTAAATTACAGTATCAGTCTCTCTGAAGCAAAGACAAATCAACAATCAGACTTAAAATTGAACCACTGCCTAATTAAACCTTATCATTCATTGTCTTGCTTTATCATATAAAACAACTTATTATGACTATGTATCAGCTCTACAAACAGGCATAGGCTATTATTCAGAGATCACAATATCATAAAATGCATTGATCTCTGATACATGGGATTTTTATTTTACTTTGAATTAAGATCTGAGGAATAAATGATAAAAGATCCATTGGCATGGAAGGTGACACATTTATCCATGGATTGCTACATGTAAATTTGGTAACGGAAAGACTTAAGAGAGGAAGGGTGATCTACATGCAGCATGAATGTTTCTTTACTTGTCTCTCTCCTCTCTCTATTTCTCTCTTTGTATATGTATACATGTATCTTATGTAATTCTTTATTGTAGTATTAGTAGATCCTTAGTGTATACTCAATAACCAGAGAATATGTAGTTTTAGTTTTTATTATAAACAAAAGGTAATATTTTAAAAATTGACAATATACTTGGCTGCAATGTGAAAGCCAATAAGTAAAGAGATCAGTATCATCCAGACCATGTAGTCTACAATATAGTGCAATAAAAATCATGTGATGACTGAAAAAGCCCCTAATATATTAGAATACAAAAAGCAACTGAGTAAATCTTAAGAAAGTAGAATAAGCATAATAAACATTGCTGCAGTAGGAAGTAGAAAAGTAAAAATAACAATGGAAAATAAACCAACCAATACAGAGGCAAACAAGGTTTATTCGAAAGACTAGTAGAGTAGAAAAACTTCTGATTGGATGGATGGTTAAAAAAAAAAAAGAGAAAAAAAAAAACAAATGGCATGAGCAAACAATACTAGAAATAGAAAGGGAGAAATAGGCACACATACGGTAGAGATTTATAAAATGTGAGAGAAGCCTATGGGCAATGCATGACAATACAATTGAATATCTAAATGATGGAATAGGTAATTTCCTAGGGAAGTATAACTTTTGAAAAAGTAACACAAAAGATATGAAGGTATAAGGATGGGTTAGAAAAAACCGTCATATGCGGAAAATATAATTTTATACATAAAAATTCAAAAGAATCTAGTGGTCATGTATTTAGCACCATGATTGAATGTAAGGTCAAGATATTAAAGTTAGTAATGTTTTCAGGTGCCTGGGTGACTCAGTAGGCTAAGCACCTGCCTTTGGCTCAGGTCATGATCTCAGGGTCCTGGGATCAAGCCCAGCATCAGCTCCCTTCTCCGTGGGGAGTCTGCTTCTCCCTCTGCCTCTGCTCCGACCCCTGCATTCTCTCTCTCTCACACACACACAAATAAATAAACTTTTTTTTAAAAAGTTAGTAATGTTTCCATATAACATCAACTAAAATTTTAAAAAGTACTTAAAAATGAACACAATGTAAAACTAATAAACTACTTAGAAATAACTCTAACAAAATGTGTGCAAGTCTCTCTTGAAAGAAATCACAAAACCTTCTTGAAAGACACAAAATAAGACCTAAGTAAAGGTGAATAGCATGCTCATAGATTACAACTAGTTCTCTCTGTGTAAAAAGGGTCAGGAGATATTTCTCAGAATAAGTGACATCTTAAATGTCTTTTAAAGGTGCTGAAGACTCTAGCTGAGGAGGACAGCAATGGGGAGGAAGGAATATTTGGGGCAGAGAAAACAGTATTTTTGCTGTGCCACAAGTAATCAGGCTGATGCATTTGGGAACAACAATTTGGTATTACCTGAGAATGAAATGGAAGGGACATGAGTCGGTTAGAGTTATGGTTAGAGAGGTAGATGAAAGTCATTCACACAAATTATGTAGATAACTTTTCTGTACATAATAGTTCACTTAAATAAAACTTTTAATATAAAAGAGTATTTTTGAATTATGGAGGGAAAATGGTGAATCAAGATGTCAGGTGGCAGAAATGGATATGAAAAGTAAAGATTTGGGGCCACGTGGACAATCAAGATCAGACTTAACCCCAGCCTCCAAGTGAATTAGTTTCATCATAAAAGGTCACTTATCAAATTCAAGCACATTTCAAGCAAATTTTTTGCCTCGACTGACTAGTACTTGAGTGAGTCACTGCCTCAAAATTAAACATTCTACTGTCAGTACCTAAACGCCAATACAGATTACATTCTCACATACCTTGACTTGTCCACCAGGACTATTCCAACCTTGTCAACTGTGATGCTGACACTGCACTTATTTTTTCCTATCTACTGTTTCTTCCCTTGACAGATTCCTAAAGGATGTATTATGTTCTTTAAGTGACAGTCTAGGTCTCTGCCACAGAATTCAGGGACAGCTTTCTTAGGTATAATTTTGTGAAAGGACTAATGTCTCAAAATCTTTTGCTGTTTGTGTAACTTCTATCAATGGCTGATATATCATCATGTTCATCAAACCTTTTGTACTATACTAACTTTGCTTCAACATGTCTAGCACATCATTTTGCATAGATATTTCCAGAATATAGAGATCATAAGCACAGCAAAAACTCCCTAAATAATATTCACAAGGACTTCTAAGGATGCTCATGGACTTCTTTCTGAATCAAAGAAGTGTAACTTGCAATTCACTTTCTGGCAACAAATTTCTTGGTGTAAGAGGCCCACTAGGAGACTTATAAAATAAGGTGTTTCTTAGGAGTTTTGTGTTTATTATTTGGGGATGATTTTTTTTTTTTTCTAATCCTCTTGGAAAAAAAAAACCAGATATTTATTTACTCAGAATACTCAGTTAAACCTGTCTGAAGACCAAGGGATGTGTTATTTTTGGCAACGTGATATCGCTCAGAATTGTAATTTGAAAATAGAATTTGATATGTGAATGTATTTAAATAGGTAAGCAGCGTAAGTACAGAAATATCTATCCACACAAATATGTGGCCTCTAAATCTATTCTTAAAATAAAGGTAGACAATGTCTTCTTTCAATGGGTCTAAATCTAGTTGCCATTATCTCTAAGTCAACACAGGTACCTCTTAAAATTGTCTTTCAGAAAACCCTCTATGTGGTAAGTTAGACTGGTGTAAAAATATGTGTGTTCCTGTTTGTACTCTATTGTTTTCTTCAAATGAAATGTTCTCCTTTATTCAGATGCTACTGTGCCTCATTGAATTCCTCAAGCCATAGCATTTATTGAACTATTCCCTAACAATAAAATAATATTGAAGTATAATTGATACATAAAGAACTACATTTATTTAATGTATACAACTTGATGACTTTGGACACATGTAAATACCAATGATACCATCATCACAAACAAGATAATAGACATGTCTCAAACCTCCTAGGATTTCCTTCTGTCCCCTTACTCTTTGTTTTTTTGTGATAAGAACAGTTAACATGAAAATTTGCCCTCTTAACAAATTTAGAGTTGCACAATATTGTATTGTTAACTATAGACACTATGTTGTAAAATGGATCTCTATAACTTACTCATCTAGCATAAATGAAATTTTAAACCCATTGAAAAACAACTTCTGTTTGTCCTGTCTAGGCTTAGGTATCATTTCTTAGGGTAATTTTCCCTAATCACACCAAATGGATTTATTTCACTAGTATACATGGCCTTCACTCTAATTGTTTATTTAATCATCCATAATTCCTTATTTAATATCTAATGCATCTACTAGAATGTAAGTTTCATGAGGGCAGAGGTCTGTTTTCATGCCTATTCCTTTGGCACCAAACATATTACCTGAAAAGTAACACACACACGCGCACACACACACGCACACACACACGCGCGCACACACACACACACACAAAATTTAACCAACTTGCTTAAGAAGGGTCATGTTTTATATCCTAATAGTGCCTAGACATAATCCCTTTTGATTAATCATTATTCTAATAAAATGAGGAGACACATTCATTTGGAAGGAAATCAAGATTTATGAATATCTGAGGAAATAGGAGACTCCCACAAACATTAAAAAGAAAATATCATCCACAAGAATATCAACATCAGCATCAGCATTTAACAATATCACCACACATGTAAGTTTGGGCCAGAAATATAACAAATATTACTGAGCACTTATTATTTTCCAGCCACTGCTCAAGACATTTGAGATAGATATATCCATGACCAAAACAGAAAATTCCTCCTATACAATAACAGAATTTACATCCTGAGGCAGGAGGAGATAGGCAATAACCATAATAAATAAGTAATTTCTGCAATACTGAGAAGATGGTCAGTACTATGGGGAAAATAGAGCAGAGTAAGGGGAATTGGGAGTTCAGTTCCAAGTAGGGTGAAAAGGTAGGTCTCATTGAATACGTGGAAAAAAATTTTACTCTGATTATGAGGAAAATAAATAGTGTAAAGGTAATAAAATGTTTTAACAAAAGATTAAATCAAATATCTGAATACAGAGAGGAAAAAAGGCCTGAGTGAGTCAGGGACTTTAGTGGAAGGGAGAGAGATTTTCACTTTGGTTTATAGTTTAAGATTTAACTTTTCAACAAAATTAACTTTGAGTTACAATAAAATTGAATAAAAAGTATTATATCATTTACTAAGAGAAAACAAAGCATATTTTTAATTAAAAATTCAAGTTATTTGGAGATAAGATGAGAATCTTACCATTTTTACTGATGTCGAGTTCTTTAAGATTAACTAAACTAGCAATAGTGGTTGGCAGATTTGAAAGATCATTATCAGGAATACTTAGTTTTCTTAGAGCTTGACAGTTGAACAATTGCTGTAAGAGAAAATAATGATTAATTAGATCTCAATTTGGTTAAATCCATTCATACATAAACTCAGTAACAAAATCCAATTCACTGTCTTTATAAATGTGGTAATAAAATGGCCACCTCCCATTTCCATATTCTCAATTCTTTTCAGAATGCTTCACATACCATCTCCATGTTCATGCCTCACTATTCTCTGCCATCCAAATTCAAAACATAAGGTATTCTATCTTCCCCTTCTGTTTACTATTAATGTAAAATTTGCCCAATCCTACTGATTTTTTTTCTTTCAAATACTTTCTGGAGTTGTCACTTCATTTCTATTCCCACAGCTACCACAATAACCCCAGTTCTCCTTCATGTATCACTTCCATTTAATCAAGTTCAGCAATTGTTTATATAACATTCAAGAACTGCAATACAGCTGAATATGTGGGCTTACATTTCTTTTGTGTCCCTCCACACTGCTTCAAGACTCTCTAGCAAATGAAACACTTAACTTTTGATATTGTTTTAAAAAAAAAATCACTAGCGATTGGTTCACTTCTACCATCAGTCCAAAGTGTTAAAATGGGGAAGAGTCAAGTGTTAAACCAATGGTTCTAAAATCCAGCACGGTTTTAATCATTGCTAAGTGGAGGTGTTTATTTAAAATGCGAATTCTTGGACTTGACCCAAAGAAGTATTGATGAGGCGGGTCTGGGATGGGAGTCAAAATCTGCATTTTTAATCAAGCAAGTCCAGTGATCTAATTATTTTGAATTATTTGTTTCCAGTATTTTGGGGGAATACTTTTTGGGGAACAATATTAGATTTTTTAGCTATGTCAATCTTATTTTAAATGCCCAAGATATAAACAGTTGGGACAGAATTTCTTATTCATTTCTGGAAAAATTATCTTAATGGGATCTCTTCTATTTGACATTTCTAATTCTATTTTGCTGATTTCCCATAGATAAAGTGTCTGGATCTATGACTATGCAATTGGCTCACAGTACATTTAACCGCTTGTTCTTTCATGTAATTCACTATTTATAGGCAAAAACAATGTAGTACATAGTTGTTATTTCTTAACTTGTTAGTTTTCTAAAAAGTAGATTGTGCTTACTGTTTATTAAGATAAAATATACAATTTCTTGCTTTTGATAAGCCATTTTGGCTCCTTACAAAGATTACTTCCAATACTTCACATAATGCTAGAATTTCAACATGGTATACAGAAGTGTTTCTACCTTTTTTTTTTTTTTAAATAAAACCTAGAAAAGAGGACTTTGATGGATTTTTTTCACTAACTACTAACTTACCCTTTAAAAAATAGAAAAATAGATGTCTATATTCATTGTAGACATTAATTTAAAAGTTTTCTCAGTCTCTATAATTCTCTGAGAACCATTAGATCCACATGCAATGCGGTTAGTTATAGATTTATAGATTTTAAAAATTCAGTCGACTCATGACTGATGTTGGTAAGACACACTAACAACTCTTTGATCTGATTACTATAGCAATTTTATACAAAATTCAGACAAATAATTTTCAAAACAGTTTTTTTTTTAAATCCAAGTTTAATCATCTCAGCTAAATTCTCAATTTTATTCAAGAATTAATTATAGGTCCTGGTTTTGTCAAAGATTAATTGACCCTATAGTTGTGGGTTCACTTTGGGGTGTTTTATTCTGTTCCATTGATTTATGTGTCTGCTTTTGTGCCAGTACTATACTGTCTTGAAGACTACAACTTCGTAATATAACTGGAAGACCAGAATGGTGATGCTTCCACCTTTGCTCTTCTTTTTCAAGATTGCTTTGGCTTTTTAGGGTCTTTTGTGCCTCTATACAAATTTTAGGATTGTTTGTTCTAGCTCTGTGAAAAATGCTCTTGGTATTTTGACAGGGATTGCATTAAATGTGTAGATTGCTTTCAATAGTATAGACATTTTAAAAATATTTGTTCTTCCAATTCCTTAACAGTGAATGTTTTTCCATTTCATTGTGTCATTTTCAATTTCTTTCATCAATGTTTTACAGTCTTCAGAGTAGAGATCTTTTACCTTTTGGGGTTAGGTTTTTTCTGAGATAGCTTATGGTTTTTGTTGCAATTGTAAATGGGATCAATTCCTTAATTTCTCTTTCTGCTTCTTCATGATTAATGTATAGAAATATAACTGACTTTTGTATATTGATTTTGTATCCTGCGACTTTTCTGAATTTGTGTATCAGTTCTACCAATTTTTTGGTGGTGTCCTTTGGGTTTTCTTTAATGGAAAAAGTTTCTTCAACAAATGGTGTTGGGAAAACTGGACAGCAGCATGGAAAAAAATGAAACAGGACAACTTTCTTACACCATACACAAAAGTAAATAAATTCAAAATGGATAAAAGATCTAAATGTAAGACAGGGAACCATTAAAATCCTAAAGGAGAACAGAGGCAATAACCTCTTTTACATTGGCCATAGCAACTTCTTATTATATATGTCTCCTGAGGCAAGGGAAACAAAAGCAATAATATGCTATTGAGACTTTATCAAAATAAAAAGTTTCTGCACAGCAAAGGAAGCAATCAACAAAACTAAAAGGCAACCTTCAGAATGGGAGAAGATATTTGCAAATGACATTATGTGATAAAGGGTTTGTATCTAAAATATATTAAAAAAACTTAGTAAACTCACAACCCAAAACTAAATGATCCAGTTAAAAAAATGGGCAGGAAAGAAGAATGGGCAGAAGGCATAGATAAACACTTTTCCCCAAAAAAAAAATTCAGATGGCTAACAGACACATGAAAAGATGACCAACATCACTCATCATCAGAGAAATATAAATCAAAACTACAATGTGATATAGCCTCACAGCAGTCAGAATGGCTAACAGCACAAGAAACACAGGTTTTGCAAGGATGTGGCAAAAGGGGAATCCTCTTGCACAATTGCTGGGAATGCAAACTGTACAGCCACTCTGGAAAACAGTAGGAGGTTCCTCAAAAAGTTAAAAATATAACTACCCTAGGATCCAGAAATTGCACTACTAAGCATTTACCCAAATGATACAAAAATATTAATTTGAAGGGATACATGCAACCTGATGTTTGTGGTAGCATTATCAACAATAGCCAAATTATAAAAAGAGCCCAAATGTCCTTCGATTGAAGAATGGATAAAGAAGATGCAATGTCTACACACACACACACACACACACACACTATAATATTACCAGCCATCAAAAAGAATGAAATGAAATCTCGCCATTTGTAAATGATGTGGATGGAGCTGGAGACTATTATGCTAAGCAAAAAGTAAGTCAGTCAGAGAGAGACAAATACCATACGATTTCAGTCATGTGTGGAATTTAAGAAACAAAATAAATGAACATAGCATGGGGGAGGGGGAAGAGAGAGAGGGAAACCAAGAAACACACTCTTAATTATAGAGAACAAACTGATGGTTACTAGAAGGGAGGTAGGTGGGAGGATGGGTTAAATTGGTGGGTATTAAAGAAGGCACTTGTGATGAGCACTGGGTGTTGTATGTAAGTGATGAATCACTGAATTCTATATCTGAAACTAATTTACACTGTATGTTAACTAGCTGGAACTTAAATAAAAACTTGGAAAAAATAAAATTAAGGAAAAAGAACTAATAGAGATCTCTATATTCTCCTCCAATATTATTTTATTTTATTTTTTTTAAAGATTTTATTTATTTATTTGGGAGAGTAAGAGTGTGGGCATAAGTTGAGGGGAGGGCAAGGGAGAGAGACAAATAGAATCCCCACTGAGTGGGGATCCTGATACGGCCTTGATCCCAGGATCCTGAGATCATGACCTTAGCCAAAGGCAGACACTTAACTGACTGAACCATCCAGGCACCCCAATTCTTCTCCAATTTTAAATTAAGTTATTCAGCAACAAAAGGTATAGAAACTCCTGAACACCCTATTACATGGACAATCTAAGACTCCTGTCGTATAGAGGCTAAGAGCATGGCATTTGGAATCAGCTTGATGTGGGTTCAATTCCCATGCATCTAGTTATTAGCTGCGTGATCTTGGGCAAGTTACCTAATGTCTCTGGACTTGTGAATTTCCTCACTTGTATAAATAGGAAAAATAACATTCTCTAACTTGAAGGGTGTTGAGATGACTAAATGAGTTATTTATTCATATTCAAATATTCACATTGAAATATCTCATCAGTTTTAAGTACTGCATTTTTTCACATATTAACATCTTTGATATTTGAAATGACTCTTATAATCAAGAGCAAGTTATAATTTGGGGGGTTCCTGGGTGGCTCAGTCAGTTAAGTGTTCAACTTTTGGTTTCATCTCAGGTCATGATCTCAGGATTGTGAGATCAAGCCCTAAGTCCAGCTTTGTGCTCACCACAGAATTTGCTTGAGATTCTCTCTCTCCTCTTCCTCTCTCCTTCCTTGCACCCTCTCTCTAAATAAACAAATAAAATTTCAAAAAAAAAAAAAAAAAGAGCCATCAAAGATGGCTTTTAAGGAGTGTATCTTTTAAGGAATGTACACTTTTAAGGAGTGTATCTTCCTTAGTGGTACAATAATGACATGTCTTATAATCATTAACCTTGGATTAATGAAATGAATTACTTGTAAAAGTTTGGCACATAGTGAGAGCTAATAACTGTTGGCTATTCTGAATATTTATATACACAAATACAGAGGCACACCTATGCAGTAATCTATTTCTTATTTTTCTTTTTAAAAAATATTTTTTAAATTTATTTGACAGAGATAAAGACAGAAAGAGAACACAAGCAGGGAGAGTGGCAGGCAGAGGCAGAGGGAGAATCAGGCTCCCCACTGAGCAGAAAGCCCAATGCAGGTCTTGGTCCCAGGACCCCTGGGATCATGACCTGAGCTGAAGTCAGGCACTCAAGAGCCCCTATATCTTATTTTTCTAGATGATGAGGACTTTGAAGCCGGGAGTCAAGTCTAATTCATCTTGGCATTAACTTGTTTCACCTCTGCACATGCCAAAGTGGCTAG